CAAAACTTTAAATGAAAGTTTACTTTAGTAACAAGATATTATCGCTGAATAAGATTGCCCGAAAAAATGGAAATAACAGGGCTTCTTTCTTCTAATCTCACGCTTTAGTTATTACTATAGTATAGCATTACTTATTTTTTATTATTTCGGAAACAGAGATGATGACATCTGAAAGCGAGCCCGGTCTTAGTAGCATAGATTATGGCCAAGTTGCGTCGGAGGGCGAAGTTTAAGTTGTAACGCGAGTCTCGGTCAGGGTTCAAGGTGTATAGAACTGCTGGAGACATGGAGTTATATGGAGTACAGCCGGAAATAAATGTTGTATATTCCGAGAAGAATACGAAGCGAGGAGTGGTCTTGGCCCATTATCGATAACCTATCGGATGATTGAATTAATCTTGGAGAGGATACGTTTTTCGTGCGAGTACAATCTGAAAATTTAAATAAAATAAAAGTGTAAATTGATTCAGTGCTGCATTTTGTAAATCTTAAGTTATGATAGCTCATAAGAGCCATTTTACATTTTTAAACGAATTCTTAGGTTTTTAGACGCTTCCCGTACCACCTTTGGAAATGTTTGTGGCTTACACAAAAAAAAAGGTTCCCAAAAGCTGGATTGGATGCTGTATAGTGATCCATTTGCTACAACTAGTTTTCAATGCCGTGGCAATTTGGATTTCTCTGTCATGAGTATTGATGGATGGTGCATGAAAGGTACACAAATGATATCAGACTTGCTGGTGTTGAGTTTTGACAGAAAAATTGTGATACTTAACAACATTAACTCTTTCGGAGCCACGGTCTTGTATACAATACAAGTAAAGAAAGCTATGTGAGCAACGGTCTTCTAGACAAGACCAAAACCTAACAAAACGTGAAATACACATAATAATCAACATATTTTAGTCGTTATTATTAACTGAAAAAGTTTATAGTCTGAAATATAAATATAAACTAAAAAAAAAGTTAATTAAAGCATGTTTTTATCTTAAAATATATGTAATTTCAAATGAAAGGAGTTAAAATGTTAAAATGTATGGGACTACCACGCTAAAATTAGGCTTTTGTCTTTTATACAAGACAAGACTGCCTGTGATGCGACGCGCGATGTATTGAACTGGTGAAAGGTATGTTCATAATTAACAAAAAACATTTTTTGTGTTCGAGTAGCCCCAGTGATCGAGAAAAAAAAAAGTATGGATTGACTATGTGAAAGAGGATATGCACAGGAAAGGAGTATACTCGGATATGGCGGCTGATAGAGATGTATGGAGAAGTAGTACATACTGTGCCGACCCTCGATAGGGATAAGGGCAGGTTGATGAATGTATCAGTACTCGATTATATATTTAAAACTGAAGTTCTATGGCACTTATAAAAGGTTAATTATAGAAAAAGGAAGGAATGAAAATTTAAACTGCTTATTACGTAAAAAGTCTTCATGTGGATATTTTAATCCAAACAAACATTGAATCATTGTTAGAGTCCTATGGTTTGTCAGGTGACGGTGGTAATCTTCCATCCCTTCAACATTCAAAGAGCCATGTCTTGCCAAGTCAATACTGCGGTTTGATGTTTATCATTAAAATATATAATATAATATATTTTATTTATGTATGTATCAAAACAGATATTTATTGCCAAACCTTGAGGAGATTTGATGTGGATGTTTCGTTATCCCTTCTATGGATGTAACTGAGGAGTTGCACTGATTGGTAAGGGTTCTGGAGCGGCTTAGTGGCGGAGGAATTGTCGTTTTTTTTCCTCTACGCTGTTTATTTTCTTGACTACGAGTGCAAGCGAAGTTCATTCTGGTTACCATGGAACCGAGGCTGTATCAGAGTTTTTTTTTTAAACCTATAAACCAGCGCGAACTGGATGGATATCTTGACCACTGGATACTTTGGAAGATTAATTAAACATTTGGTTTTATTAGAAGAACAATAAAGTAATCTTTTAAAAAGGGATAAAAGAATAATCATGGCGTGGCAGTGGAGCCCTGTTTTTCAAACGTGGAAGGAACTGTTGACTGAGTGACCGCGGGAGCACAATTCTACGGTGGTGCGTGTAAGGGCGAATTAGCTGGCGTTTGTTCGGATGTAGCGTGTCAGAGACCAGGTCGCATGTGGGCGCACTTAGCCGTGACCCGGTTGAGAGAGTTGAACTTGAATTCCTTACGTGTGTTTATGTCTTGGCTGTCGAGGATGGGAAACAAGAATGGATCACTTCTGTCCAGTTATCCGATGAAAAGTCGAAGACGATTAAGGCAATGATTTAAGATTCAGATTTAATTAGATGTTCACATCATTCATAAATAACCGGATTTATTGAATTGTTCAAGATGATCATAGTAAAGAGGAAGGAGATTAATAATGAAAATAAAGATCTAACCTATTTATATAGGTCCACCTAGTGCAAAGCCAATGTTCAAATTTGTAAAGTTACTGTTTGATTTATAATTTCATAATTAATTGGCAACCTATTAGTTTAGTTTAATTAAAATAACTAATAGTTTTTTTAAAGTTGATGTTAAAACAGTTAAAGATTGTGATCGAACTTTGTATTCTATATGTATATTGTGTTAACAAGTGTTTAATAACTACAAGCGAAGGGACTCGCTTTTAGCAGGAAGGCCGAGCT